TGAACGCAGCGCCTTAGACCGCTCGGCCATCCTGACATGAAATGTAAACCACAAATGTTCTATCTATTTTATGAAATGAACAATTTTATCAACTTATTGGCCAAAGTTAAGATTTTTTTATAACTGTCCTCGTATTTGGTTACTGGCCTTTTAGGGTGTAGGGATATGAGGAATGGTAATTTCGGGAATGGGGATAGCCTCCGACCATCTCATTCATACGACGAGGTTGATTGTTCTGACCAGGCTCCAAGCCACCATAACGTATAGTCAAGCCCGGGACTGCTTCTTATACATAAGAGTACGGGTTCGAAACCTAGCAAGTACCAACGTGTATTTTTCTAAGTTAAATGTAGATATTTAGATGCCACTAATACTCAGAGAAGGAGATGCCACTAACACGTGAGGAAAGCTGATTTTTTTGCGCTTAACCTTTTCATGTAATACGCCTCATTATAGTTACCTGATGGTAAGCAATCTACACCGCCCCTAAACACCTGCTATACCAGAAGAGTTGCATTTGTGCATTTAGGGATGGGGAGTTATAGGGGAGAGAAGGATTGGGGCTCCAGAAACCTAACTCATATAGAGAAACACAATTCTTTGGATTTTTTTCACGCCAATTTTCTATAAATCCGTGGTACCAATCTTGTCGAGTCGAACCATTCGTGAACATTTTTCAACCATGAAAATTATCATCCAAATAAAGTTTTAGTGAAATATCCCAAAAATTTTCCACACTCCATGCCCACCCTACATAGGGTTGGTGTCACAGATGTGTGTGTCGATGACCTGAGCTTGATTCACAGTGTCATTTGACTTATGGTGTTGTGTGAACATAACTAATGCTAATCTTTGCGTCAGTACATGCTAATACCTATTGTTATTGTTCTTTACGTACTGCATATGTATACAACACCTTATGCAGCTAATTAATGCTTATATTATTAATATTATATTATAATATTGTATTATGACTTCATTGTAGATATAGATCTTCGTTTGTAACGACTTGACAAATTCAAGTTTAACAAACTCGTTAAATGATTTATTTATTTTTCGTAAATGGATGGATGATGGGTTTGAAGGTCGAAGTACTCTTAGTATTTGATTGTGTGACTAGATTGAATTAAATAAGATGTCTTTGTTAATCTGAGGAATACCGTAGCCCCTTAGGCTACATTATGTTTTCTAGAGTGGAGACCACGTCTAGGCAAAGCATTGCAACAGTTCAGTGGGGCTTAGCTTTTTTTTTTTATACTTTGCCCTTCACTAGGATTTTCTCCTATACTAAATGTTATATTATTGAAATTGTAAAACATTTTTATTTTAAAAGAGTAACGATGGAGTTTCTTGCTCGTTCTTCTCCATTCGAATCTACAATTTGGTATGAGCACCTAGCTTCACTGACGAACAGACTGACAGACTACTTTTCGATTTTGACGTTTCAAAAGTACTTAGATACCTATTTATAGTTTAGTTGGAATAAATGGTTTTGACTGACTCCAGTGTCGTGTGTATATTTACAAAGATACATATTTACATACACAAGCAACCCAGACCCGAAACAAGAATTTGACACACAAACAAAGTGTTTTCCGGGCGGGAATCAAACCCGCGACACATTATGTAGCAGCCAGTTCCCTAACTACCGAGCCAACCGTGCAATCTACTGCAACTACTGCAGCTTATAATATACTTACCTTTGTGTCGTATTAATAATTAATAAACGTAATCTAGGACGTACTGGCAAGCGCATCGTAGGACGTCCACCCGCAAGGTGGACAGACGACCTGATTAAGGTCGCAGGAAGCCGCTGGATGCAGGTCGCTTCCAACCGGCATATCTGGAAGTCAATGGGGGAGGCCTATGTTCAGCAGTGGACGTCCTGTGGCTGATATGATGATGATAATGATGTTGAATCTAGGACGCCTTCCAGCTAGGTGGAGTCACGCTGTTCACAAGGTAGCAGGCAGTGATTGGTACCGACGAGCTTAAAGACCGAACTCACTGCTAATCAGGTGTGATTGCAGTCAAGCACTAGTTTATATGATAAAAAAACTCAGTGGCATGCTATTGGAGAAATCTTTGTTCAGCTGTGAACTGAAACATACTGATGAAGAGGAATCTAAAATTAATTATTATATTTTCGGCTTACTCACGTAATCATTTGACGAGATACTCGACTAGTTTCAAGCCATGCTAGAGGCCCATATTCATGAGCAGCATTCATGGAATATAAAAGTTTTAATTGTAGTACTTACTTACTTACTAAGGTGTCCTATGGTTATTGCTTATGCTACTTAGTACTTTATGGGTTAGGGTGTAAAACGACCTTGGATCTTCTGGTGTTTTTTTTGTGAGGGGAAAATCATCAAATTACTTCTCCCGCCCAGGGCCGGTCGGGAGGGAGTGTCAGACTCTTACTGACTAAAAACCCCCTCGTTCCTTCTCCGGGTCTGGGCCGAGGTCGCGGTGCCTCATTGCGCTTACCCTGCAACCCCGGCTGATCTTCTGGTGGTAGGTAAGCAATCGGCGCTCCCTAAGGACACCGGCAACACCAGAGAAGTTACAAGTGCGTAGCCAATTCTTGTAACTACCAAATATGGAATTAGGAATCATTATACAGAATAGCATCTGGCATTACTTTACCAAAATCCATATTAACTTTATATTTGCTACTCACTGTCATGTCAGGATGGCCGAGCGGTCTAAGGCGCTGCGTTCAGGTCGCAGTCCACTTCTGTGGGCGTGGGTTCGAATCCCACTTCTGACAGATTCTTTTTTGTTTTTTTAGTAAGACCTCTTGTCTGTCATAACACATAACTGTTTTGATCACGGCTTAGGTATAGTCTAGTGGGCTTGACAACTAAGCTAAAAAACTAAATTAGTTCAAAAATCCACGTGTTGATTACCTCCTTTGATTTACACGATTTTCCTTCTTGGCGTAGTTACGCCTTCAGGAGTCCATAGGAAGGCATTTATTTAAAATTTATAATATAGTACTTTCGGCAGCGGTATTTCCGACTACCGGTCATTTTTGAAAGGCAGGCAACGCGCCTGTGACTTCTCTGGTGCTGCATGTGTCCAAGGGCGGCGCTTATCACTTAACATCAGATTTGTCTGTTCGTTTGCCTTAACTTTAAAAAGTACAGTTGGTGCACTTCCGTTTACTGCTGCAGCAAATTTATAAAAAAAAAATACGCACTGCAACTAATTAAAATGTAAGAAATATAAATGGATTTTTGAGTTAAACAAATTCATAAACTATGAATATATGAATGAAAAGCTTAACAAAAAAAATTCTGTCAGAAGTGGGATTCGAACCCACGCCCACAGAAGTGGACTGCGACCTGAACGCAGCGCCTTAGACCGCTCGGCCATCCTGACTTATCATATTATATCTAAATTAAATGTCAAATGAGACCTATTTGTACAATTGAAATATTTATTATTTGAAACAATGATAATAGCATTGAAATGAAGAGGGTAGGTCCGATTTTGCATTTTGGACGGAGTGGTGTGTAACTATCTCTCTAAATTTCCTTAAAATTCAATGTATTTCCACATTATTTAATGTGGTTATTAATATGGTTATTTAGATTATATTTTAACACTAACTTAGAGAGACGTTTTAAGTTTTTCTTCCAAGAGAAATTACTTACATTGCATTCAACAGCGATTATCATCCATCTCCACAATTTACTACACGGTGATCAGTATAAAAATGTTAATCAGTTGTCTATTACCGCTAGTGTTAAATTAAGAACCTCATTAGGATGCAACTTTATGGTAGGAACCTTATTACGGGCGGCACACAGCCGCCGCTTCCCCGTACGTGGTCCCCATAACTTTCCACAACGAATGCCGAACATCGCAAGAATATCGTCATCTAGTAGCCAATTATTGAGGAACGCTCCAATGGGGTATCGAAACTCTCGGAATCCAGCGACGCACTTTATGTCTCTATTCATTAAACCGGAGCCATACTAATTAAAATTGTTTCGTTGGTGTAACGCGCGAAATAAATCCCGGCCCAGGCTCGGTGGCGTGTACGCGTTTTGCTTTGTTTTTCACTTGCTACATATTTGTGGGGTCTGACATTAACACCTCCAGGTCGGTGCGTACAATGCGCGACTTGTCGGTGGTACAAAGGCGCGCATCGATTTGCGGGCAACACTTTAAATATATCGAGGTGGCTGACAATGCGTTTAGCGGAGTCGTAAGTAAACTAGCTCGGATATATGGAGGACGGAGGGCTTTGTTCGCGGAGATCGCATCGGTTCCGCCTAATAGAATACGTTTGTTTCGCACTCCGCGAATGTTAAGTGCGGATTTGTTCGATTTATTACGCTAACTTTGTTTTCGTATGGCTCGATGCACTCGAGTTTAATTGGTTTGATATTAATTCCCTAATTAATGGTTATATCCAAAGACCGCGGATTATCAAGACCCCTACAAGGAATTTGTTGGTTTATTATGATGTAATATGAAAATCCCATGTACAAAGTGTGCATAACAAATATGTATTGATAGACATTGTCAGGGTTTTTGATCCTACAATCGCTTTATAAATAGACTTAGCCAACTTGGTAACCAACAACTGTATTTTCAGAATTTTACCTGGATGTTTCTAACATTGAGCCCGCTTCCCTAGCCGGGACAAAACGATCACCAAATCACTAACTTCCACACATAGACTAACAACTGAGAATCCAGCGTATTCAGTGTTCCCTGTCCTAGACATATTCACAACAATAGCATTAAACACTTGAACAGTTCTTAGGTAGGTGCACATAAAATTACCGCGATGTCTGTAAGTATTCCACGGGCATGCCTCGCGCGCCTCGACGCTAACTCTCGTGTTCATCGGATTCCATTCTTCTGTCGTCTGTACCTACCCGCTGAGTATAATGCACTTTTTATTTGTTTGGGTTCCGTTGAATTTTAGGATTCAAATGAATTTTTAAAATCTATAGATGTTGTCATGTCTTTAAGTGATAATGGAGAATGAAAACTCAACACTTCTCTTTATATTATTACACATAATAGTGTTCATATTTCGACTTCCGCATTCGATTGAGAGCTACCTAAAACGAGAGGAACTGGAAAGCAGCTCCTCCTTCTACGATGCACTGATACTCGCAAAGGAGGCGGACCGCGTAGGGGAGCTATCCTCCTTACGCCCCAGCCACCGCAGCAGGCAACGCTTCGGGCGTCGAGGATCCAGTGATGTACTCCGGCCACCGTAAGCGCGGGTCTGCAGACGACGATTAAGGATAGCTCACCGCCTGACCAGAACCAGACCAAGAGCAATAAGGCACCGCAGCCTCGGCCTAGGAATAGGAGAAGCAATGGGGAGGTTTTTAGTCAGAAAGAGTCTGACACTCCTTGTCGCGTCACCGTGGGCAGGAGAAGTCATTTGATGATGTTGCCCACACCAAAAAAAAACTACCCTAAAGCGGAAAAAAATCTGTCATATTTGACAGCTACAAATACAACGTCAACATGACAGCTAGTGCTAACTAACATTAACATAGAGAGCTACTGGCAGTACAGTCGACAACAGTTACACTGAATTGGAGTCTCGGTTACCATTTCAGAAGAAAAAAAATATATGTACCTACCTATCAACAAACGATAAACTCTTTATCGTTTTGTTGATTTTGGTTTAGCTAATAACTGTAGGGGACGTTATTTTAGCCTGAATGCCGTTACCTTATGATTTAGACGCACCTGTCTTTAATACCTAAAAGGGGAATCGGGAATTCCTTAAGATAAGCCACGGCGAAAATAAACATAATGTAACTAAGCGCGGTCAAACTAGTGACGTTAACTAAGCCTGCCTAAATCGTACGAGCAACACGCTTCAAAACAAAACAATCAAAAAATTAATTAAGGAACCCTAAGTAATATGTTGTCGCGCGCACTCTGGAGAATTTATATTTTATTCTCTTTTTTAAAGAAAAATTGGAGCCTAATTTAAATTATTGAGGTGGAAGAAATATTAGCTGGCTCCTTGGTCTTTAGTTAATGTTAGTAGATACTTTTTTTCTATGAATACTTTTTGTAGTAAATTGTGCGTATGTCGTTGGGTTGTAGAAGGTCCTAAGTAAATATATTTCTTTTTTAATAGGGATCTTCTAAATCAAGGTTTTGTACTTACTGCCTTTTCTTTATTTTTTAATCACTGTAAGTTTTAATACTAATTCTTTACTATTGTTTATTGCTTGCTACCTCTTAAGTGTGATAAAGTCAATTTGCTAGGTTACTAGGGCTATACCTCGGCCTAATGTGACACCGATATGAAACAAGGCTTACGTTGTGTTTCGTCGTGAGTGAGGTTACAGAAGGCTCAAACCTTTCTCTTCCACAATGATCCAATCCTCAAAGCCCTTAAAACTCTCAAAAGGACCGCAACACATTTGCAACTCCTTTGGTGTTGAGGGTGTCCATGACACGGCGGCGATGCTTACCATGAGTCGTCTGCTTATTTACAGACGTTTCTAAAATAAGTAAGTACTTTTGATGTAAAATACGACTTTTATCCCCATTATAGGTGTAGGTACTACATGTTTGGCAGGCAACAACTGCGCATTTTGGGAACATTGTGCAAAGTAACCACTTGGAAGGAAATATCGTCGACGGTACATTGTTCCATATTCTTCTCCCAGCGAAATTGCGACTCCTTTACTATCGATACCACGATGAAGCGATGCATTTACTAATTTGCCCCCAATTTACAATAAAAAAATATAGAATTCCTCCTAAGTCGGAGTCTGCCAAAGAAAATTAACCATTAACACAGGCGAAATAAAACATACATTACAAATTGATATGTCTCCTTTTATTCACAGTATATGTGTACTATTTACATGCTGTACATAATCGCAACAAATTATTCTATTAAGTACTTATATTATTCTGGAACATTTATCTACATACAAGGGTAGTACAAAATTTTAACATATAATAATTATTTATAATTATAGTAATAAATAATAGATGGACAATCAAACAACTGGGTACGTACAGTCGGAAATTAAAATTCATAAATTGGTTGATATGGACAGAATCAAATCAAGGTCCACTGAACTCTTTTATAGATTTTCAAACCGTCCCATTTTTTTATTCAACGTCAAATCATTATTTCAAATATACCACAACAAGCAATTTTGAACGTCAAACAAACAAAAAATCTATCTGTTTAACTTTATTTGTCCGTATGTCCTCTAGTAAAGCTATTTGCTCGTTCCAAAGAGAGCAAGAAACTCCATAGTTATTGTTTTTTAATCAGTTTTACTATTCATTTCTTAGTTACAACATTTAGATCTATTTTGAGAACAGTCTAAATTTAATATTGAGCCAAAGAAAATCATGATGAAAAGGAGTTTAGTATTTATCGATGTTTTTTCTCTACTGTTGTGAATCTCATGAGCTGAAGGCATCTATCAGGTTATCAAATTTTAGACCCTTTGACTGACAATGCCCACAGCCTTGGTTTTCAAGGTCCAAAATCAGAAAATTGAAAATCTATTAAAGATATACTGTAAGTTGATTTGCTACCATCCACAAATTTAAAATGGAGGGGGAAATAAAATAATTATCAAGAAAACAATTATCATTTAACAGTCTTCCACAACTGGTACTAAAGTTATTGTAAAGCTGAATTCATTTTTAAAAACATTTTGCATTCAGTAAAAACGTAAGAACCTTAAATTTATTTAGCACATTCATACTTTTTACACATATTCTATATATGTGATGGAGACGAGACGTATTTACAATAACTATCTCCTTCTCTTTCCTTCTTTACAAACCAAACAGTTATTGCTTAGTCTAAGAATACAAATGTCATCGGGACAACCTATGCCGAATTGTCAAATTTATTTAATAGATATTTAAGTTAGCTCGAGTTATTTCGAAACTTATAAAAACAGGCTCTCATATGGATTGAAAGTAGTCGGACATCCTCGAAAAGTTAAAAGAGTCTTCTAATTTGCAGTAGTTTAGTTTTATGATTCAAGACGAAATCGAGTAAAGGTTGATAGTCTATTGAAGAAATTTGACAAATTAAGGTTGATGTGACGTCTAAAAAACTGAAGATAATAATAATAGCTGCTTCAGTTCCAATAACACAGAGTCCCACAGGTTTATAAATTAATTATAAAATTGTTAGAAACACAACAATTAATATGTACATTTACTTAAAAAATATTATGAGATGAATAAATATCAGTTTTAAGCGAAAACCGTTTTTATTGTGCACACTTAAAAGTTTAATTTAAAAAATCTTTCACAGTTATATAGTTTTATTCAAATCACACAGGTTTTTACATGATTTACACTAGAAACATTCAATTTTAGAAACATATAATCAGGTTAGGGTTAGTGGCTTAGTCATATTTATTCATCTCATAATTGATTCTCTTCAAAACCTCTAAATCCCATTACCTATATATTAAATAATTTACATAAAATTACATTGAATTTTAAACACGACTGTACTTAGGACCTGTGAGACAAATTAAAACATTGATTACTGTATTTTTCCAAAACAATACTATTGTTATTAAAATAATAATTATAATACAATAACAACCGAGTTGCAAAAAATAATATCAAAAACCTATTTGTAAGTTTAGTTCGAGTTGTCAATTTGTTCACCATAGATGGCGCCGTTGAATTTTTAGATACGGCAACACAGTTGCTGTCACATTTGACAGCTATACTTTAATTGCATTTAAAACGGTGAATCCACCAACTCTAATAAGACTGCAAATAGTTAATAGAATATTTAATTGAATTTGTCCATTAAAAATAAAATTACTGTTATTTCATCTTAATTTGTCACTCATGTAGGCCAATCTAAACACTCTACATTTGTTTGAGACTAGTAACAAGACACAGTGAAGAAATGATGAAAATTTCCCTATGTTTCCTTATCAATAATTCTAGGATATTAGCGACGAATGTCTGCACATGGGAAACGTACAAATTTTTTAAGTTTTATTCGCTATGTCTTTTTACTACTGTCTAAACACTCCTAATCACCCTCTACCTAGCATCTAGCATAACTCCTACGACATAAAACATTACATCAGTCTGACACTTGACAGTTTGGTAACAACACAACACGACATAGAGTATCCACTTAATTAATTAAATGCGAAAATAATAAATACATCTCTGCGACTAGTCGTTTAGGTCTTTGGCTAACATTTAAAAGAAAAAAAAACCCTAAAATGTATTTATTAATATTTAATCAACAGCTACAATAATTAGCAGCTTTCATTTCAGTCTGTTCGCAATATTTTTTTTTACTTCCAACATTGATCGTCACGTTACGAAATGTCACTATAGATTAATGTTACCACTTATAAAAATAATTCTTATAAAGTGTTACCAACTAATAAAATGTGTTCGAAAAATGATTATGTGATAACAGATTAAATGAATTAAACTTAAAAATGTTATAAATATGTTACTGGGAATAGAAAATCAATTCATTTTCATGTACTTACTGCTGGGTTTTCTGAAAACTTTGTTTTCAATACAAAGATGTAAATATAAAAAATTGATAGAAATTCATTGGATATATAAGTAAAACAGTTGAATTCATAGATTTGTAACAATGCACTCTATACTTTAATAAGGTCTGTTTCAGATATTGACAATTTTAGATATCTTTTTTTAAATCAAGTAGAACCCAGATTCTCGGTTTGAGAACATAATATCTTCTAATATTAATATTACAAGCAGTGAAAAAGTTAGGATTTAAGATAGGTAGCTAATCCGTCATCACATCTAAGACATTTAAATTCCTCATTGACATGAAAAAACTCGTCAATTGTCTACGTACAATGATATACTTCATTAATTAACGTTGAAAATTCAAAATTTCCAACAAATTTTCGCACAATACTCCAAAACTTTTTAGATAAAACGTAAATTTTTAACACGTGATTTTATTATTAATCAGAAATTTGAGTCTGAATAATAATAATAAAAACGCGAATATTTACGGCTCATCAAAAAAGTCGGTCAATACAAAAAATATAATAATAAAAATACATATAATATAACTATTATATATAATAATAATTTTCGCATAAATTATACGCTAATAAATCTATTTATATCTCACTACTTATATATCGTGCGTTTCTTACGTAATCATTATAATATCTACACAATTTAAATTATTAGGAATTAGAATTACTTCATCGTGCAAGCACCGATATGTTAAGATGGACTATTTCACTATATCTCTATATATTACTATGTTATAACTTCACTAACACTTTAGAATATCATTTTATTACTCGTCTAAGGACAGATGGCTTTACACTAAACATTTAATACGTTATTTATAAACTAACAATAATCCAATCAAGAAATATTTAATTAAATTATTGTTTGGTTATAAATATCACTATTCAGTTGTTCCGTTCAAGTTGCTCGCTAAAATTGGAGAGAGATATGCAATTTTATTTCAATCTTATATGTATTATAAAAATAAAGATTTATATAAAAAAGCAAAAAATACAATTACTTAATACATAAAAAACGTGTTTTATTTTTTTTACACGATTTTCTTGATGGTCACCTTGTGAAGTGACTGACTGTACATCGTAAAAGAGTTCAAATAACAAAATGGCGTTCAATTTTAGCAAACAACTGGAACGTGTACATCAATATTAAATAGTTAAGAATTGACATCGAAACCAATTGGGTACGTTTACTAACTACTTACAGACTTATTGTCATAGACAAAAACTATTATATTTTATACTGGTCAAAGGAATGGCAAGTTTTGAGGTCACCTTACGTCCGATACTTATGAAAGCAACTTTTACTGTTAAAAAAAAAAACAATATTTATTATGAGGTATTGTATTTCTTGTAATGTATAGTGGCATAGAAAGTACATACCTTTTTGTTCTTTATATGAGTTTAAGGAATCCATAAAACTCACCAAAAGAAAAATAATGAGGCAGTGACTAAAAAAATAATGCAGTTTTCAAAACATAACGCACCAAGTGCTGATTTTCTTATAAAGGTTTTGGCGTATTATCCTTAAAAATAGAGAGCAAATTTCACTAAAAATCCTTACACAAACATAATAATTTATTAAATGTAAACTCAAATTAAAATTAAATGCAATTCGGCAGAACTGTTATAGTTTGGCAAAAACGAACAGTCGCCACCATAAATATCGGCGCAAGATTTAAAATCATTTGAAACAACATTACTAGCTAATGCTCTGCACGTGGATATGTCTGAGTTGAGACGCGGTAAGTCGGGGACCATGTTTTGTAAAAGCTCGGGCGTATTGTATCTCTCAAAGATTTATTTTATTTCAATTTTATACAAAAATAATCATAAATAATAAAAAGTGAAATATTAAAATTGAATTAAATACATATTTTTTTAAACAAAAATGCAGTGAAATCGATAGATTAAAGTTTAGAAAAGTACATATAAAATAAATCCTTAAGAGACAGAAAAGCCAGTAAAAAGCTCATCAAATACAAACAATAAATAAACAACCAACAAACTATATCCATAACACTATAATTTGACATTGTATACCGTCAAAATAATCCGAAGGCATTCGTAAGCTCACAACGCAAGTCCTTAAAATAAGGATAAGGGATTATTCTCGCAACGAAAATTATGAAGTCAAATAGCAAATGGGACACTCGATTCTTTTCATATTCTAGTACCTATAAATTGTTTTCCTATTGCGTGGAAAGAGTTACCCATACGATATGAGAACAATATTTACCTGAATAATAAAAAGACCGGTATGCCTTCGCCAGTGGCTACATAATTTTCGTGCGCACTGTACATTTACGGTAGAAAATCTATATAAATGGTTGGGTACTTTAATTAAAATTATTGAAACTTTGATTTTTTTTTAGTTTTCAATGTATACTGGAATATTTGTATAAAATACCTACTTCATAAAGGTAAATTCTTCTTTGTATTATTTTTAACCGACTTCATAATTTAGCAATAATAAATTTACATAGACATTTTCCACCGTAAATGCACAACTAAGGGTGTATCGGGGAATTTAATGAAATAATGGCAGTTTAACTCTACATACCCTGGTATTGGGGACGAAATCCCATTTTTTATTTCTCTTACAGCCTTCATTCAATTTGTTATTGTCCGTACCACCTACTTTCCATTAAATCTAACAATCGAGGCCCTCTTCTAATATAACAATAATAAAAAACAAAATGGCTTAATATTTTTTTCGAAACTCATTTTTGCGGTTGACTGTACAATGATACAGTTACCTAACATTTAGAAGCTGACTGTACTAAAACCTAAATACAGTTTAGTTCGTTACACCATAATGCATACAGCATACTGAAGTCAGAGATCTAATTTCAATATGGTAGTTCGTTAAGAGGGCTCTCAAAACCTTACCTTACAACGCGCCTATGTCCGGATAGGCGTGCGGTACTCCAGATCCAGTCTCCCTGTACTGGAGCGGGTCAGCTCGAAACTCGACGGGCTGTAAGGCCATATGGCCGTATATTTCTGCGAAGCGAGCGATGCAGGCCGATCTCTGCGACATGTGCCTAGCGTCGGCTGATAACATCTCTGTGTTCGTGCATTCAGGACACTTGAACTTTTTGCGTGGCGTCACCTGGAATTTGTATAAGATTATTTTTAAATTGGCGTTTAGTTTCTATGTGTAAGGTTTAAGATCGTTTTTTTTTCTCGTGAGTCGTAGGTAAACATACAATTTCACATGCACATTACACCTAGAACAGGAACAACAATTTGTGGGACAAACAGGAGTTTTTCCGTGCGGGAATCGAACCCGCAACGCATTGATGACGCGATTTCTTTTTATATATCACGCCTTATACCACCTGTTGATTAGATATAAGTGCACAAAATGGCACACACTGTGACCTAAACATTTTACACAACACCCGCTTTCTTTTGGCTCTGATAAGCGTCATATTTTATAGAACTAATTCAATTGCCATACATATGTATACTGAGCAAATTCTTAAGTATATTTTTTTAATCTCTTGCTTCATCATTTGCTTTTTTACCAATCATCTATAAACTAAATTTAATATTAAAATTAAGTTTTGAATAAACACGTTTTTCTTTTTTACTATGTAATAGATAGCCAAGAATATCATCGCCGAAAAACAGCTTATTGAGAAATGTTTCTCTAGAAATATGTATCTACGGTTAAGGCCGATTTTTCAATGTTTAGATCAAAGTTACCTAGCGAATAATTATGATGCTGGCGCGTCAGAATGTTTGTGTAAGACAGTCACAGCAACAATTTTATTCCTCAGATAACATTTATCTGGCTATTGAAAAATCAACCCTAAGTTAAGTTGAATAAAACAATGTAATTTCTAAGAATAAAATATAAATAAATAAAAGAAAGACCTTTAATGTCACGGTGACCGCGGGGTCACAACGCTCATTTTTCAAATAAAATACGAACGCATATTCAAACAACTCAAAGGTGACATTTCTAGGGTTAGTGTTTCAGAAATAAAATATTTTTCATTGTAGTCTAAGAAAATTTAAAATAATAAAAGTTGAAGAAAACCTGCTTGATACAACCATAAATAACGTTGTATTCCGCCATGTGAGTGAGTTTACCTAGCTCAATCCTTTCCCTCCCTCCATCCGTCCCCAATCCCTAAATTTACAAAATCATAACCCCTGAAAGGCCGGCAGCGCACTCATAACTTCTCTGGTGTTGCGGGTATCCGTGGGCGATGATTGCTTATCATCGGGTAATCCGTATGCTGGTTTGCCGACCGATGAATTAAAAAAATCACAAGGAACAGACTAACGTTACTTTGTGGATCACACAAAGAATTGTTTCATACGGGAATTGACCCGCGACGTTGATTTGGCAATTGACTTAATTATAGATTTGTTTGAGCCTTTTTTGTCGGAAATAAGATATTAGGTGACGTTAAACATTATATCTATCATCAAAACAATTTTGTCCATTTCAATAAAGTATTGAATTTAATTTCTTTAAAACTATCGTGTTAGAAGTGTTAGAATTCTTTGATTTTATAACATAGTTCCTTACAGATGGATCTAATAAAATAGTGTGAATAAAAATTATTATTACCTTAATAGGTGCCTTCCTAGTGATATTAGCGACTAGGAAGTTCATGGCAATATCCTCGCAGTTGAAGTTGTCGTCCACCCAGCTCCTGATCTCCTGGGGCATCTTGTACGTGTAGTACCACGACCAGATCTTGTGGTGGAACGCTGCTCCTGTTAACACCTGGAATTGACGGTAGGGGGATATTTAAGATCGCTTATTTTTGATGATTTTGCACCGCAAGGACGTTAGTAATAACGGCTTTTAATTTCGTTCGTAACGTGGTTCCCATTCTTATGTAAGGAAACAATTATATTTATTTTTTAATGATCACACATCATCAGCTTATAACGCCGAAACAAAAGCTTTTTTCACTCGGAGAAGATTTTCTGGAGGCGGACTGACGATTTCAAACTTATTGTCAGATCCGGCTTTCAGACATCAACATCATTGAAAACAACGCATTTTAGCATCGATAAGCCTGCCCGTTGCAAATATTGTATTTATACTTTTGAAAGTAAATAAATTTTATTTATATTTGTCCTATATTTTTATGGTGTACAATGAAGAAGAAAAAACAAGGAAAACACCTGAAGTATTTTTCAAGTACCTTCACTTGTTTTAAGACACCCCTATATCTGTTACCACTGTGGCACTGCAGTACAAGGCCAAAAACAGAGTTTTTTTTTGTGTTTAGAGTCATCATCTAAAAACCGCTGGCTGTCATCCAATCTAAAGCTATAAACATTTCCGAATCATCTTTTTATTTCGCAGAACTAAGATGTAAGCTCCTATATTTGTCGTTTTGATCTCACTGCATTAGTGGTAATTCCTGTTAATCATCAGATATTTCTTAAGCTTATAAAGTCTTGTTATTGGCTTACTACCAAAAGGATTAATATAAGTCAGTGTTGGCAATAGTATTAAACGAAAATCCGTCTGACCTTTACTGTCAGACATTGTTCAAAATGGATACAAAAACTAGTACTAGAATACTGCCAACTGTAATTTAGAAATCTGTATTTGCAAACGAGCAAACGCCTTTAAATTATGTAATTAATATGATCTAATTTGACACACAATCATCAGTATCTTTCTTAACGTATTTAAGCAGCTTCTAAAGCCATTAAAAAAAATTTAATGTTAGTTAAACCATATGGTGATTAACGACCCAACTGCTTTTGCCAATTACTTTGTTGGCTAATGGGCAAACAGTCATTAAAAGCAAAACTAAACACTATTACTTAGACAATAAAGTTGCTATCCGAACAATTAACGTGATACATTTTTCATATTCAGTACAATCACGTACAATTGGGTATCAACTCTCAGCGAAACAAACTATTTAGACAATTGTCTCATTGAATTACTTAGTACGGTACAGTCGCGTCGTAAATCACCATCAAGCGACGTGTCAGCTCTCATTAATTCATGTACATGTCTTAATTTAAAATGGCCGCCGCTACGACTTTTTTAAATATAATTAAGGGAGACTTTTTTAATAGAAATGTTTCTGTCGCCTTTCTTTGTTAGAAAAAGATCAAAGACGTTATAATTGATAGTGGTAATATCAATAATAAATAAATAAAATACCGATTCATTGTTTAGAAAGAATCTTTTGTCTAAACTCAAGTCTAAGTAAAACTCATTTCTAGAAACACCTTTTACTTGCTTACACGGCGTGTGATTGGCTGTTACTAACTACACAAGTAAAATATCGAGTCTTTTACAAGTTGAAATAACACTATTAAGAAACTCAAATAACAACCGTAATTACTTTTCCTAAGATTGGTCTAACATTTCTCAATTTAGTTTAGTTCACTATTTGACTTCAGATGGTGTATGTGGGTGTGATTTAAAAATGGCGTTGCTCATTCGTAAAGGTCTTAACTCATAGTTGCGTGTGAGTGTACATCCTGTGGCCGCATCAACTCGTTGAAACAATAACGCGAAGGTCGCATAGTTGCATCCAAGTGGATCTTCGGTTGACCCTTATATCCTTATTCGAGATGTCCCTTGCTAAGATTTTTAGGTTAAGAATGTTTTTAACGAGCGAAAATCTAGCAGACTATAAACCTTATGGTATGTTAATAAGTTTGTATATAGGCGCTGAGGGCCTTCGATTAAGAGCTACATTCGATAAAAATCATTTCATAATGCTAAGAATTACAATACATGATTACACGGAAATTACGATTTTTTGAAATTGACAAAAGCAATTCTACCAGTTGCTACCATAAATACAAAAACTAAATCTTCGAAGGAATACGAAGCTTATTTGGCGCAAAACGAGGCCCCAGTCAAAACATTTCGAACAACAAAACCCCAAACAACATTTGCAATTCTTATCTAATTCGAAAAACGCAAAAAGTTCCGTCAACAATAAGCGAAGATTGTAACGGGCACGATAAAAATATTTGCCGACATTCTTGAGGTTACCTATGTTCCCAGAAAACCACGATAAAAAAAAAACAAGAATGTCTGTGACCCCTTTGGATGTCCGCAATACCCGCATCATATGGGTCTACCTAAATCTTGTAACGAAGGTCAAATAGCTAGCCACCAAACCACTGGGCCACGCTACAATCATTCCAGAAAATTCGCAACTATTTGATTAAAATTAATACGCTGTTTCGTTGTAATTATACAAATAACTATGCATATGCATTTTGCTTGTGTAATTAGACTAATTATGGTAATATTTTGCAATCAACAGTGTTGACTAGAACATGGTATTTGGGTGCTACGGTTAATTGTTTTATTGTTGCGTTTGATGTTATTAAATACGTTTATGAGAACACCGGGATCAATACAAAATTGTGTTCGAAACATGTTATGTAATTTAGAATATTACATTTATTTTTTTATAATATTACAATCACTACATAGTATGATACAAACAAAGTCTCTTTCTCTGTTCCTATGTACGCTTAAATCTGACCATGACTGAATCTAAAACCGATTCTGATGCGATTTTTTTTTAAAAGAGAGTGATTGATTAGGTTGGTTTAAATATATAATAACATCCATTTAATAGTGGAGCAGTTTAGAATCAGGATTGCACCTGTTCGACGCCGGGGCGGTAACATAATTAATCTGAAGACTTAGGGCTGATTTTTCAATCGGATAAATGTTATCTGACTAATAAAATTGCTGTCACTGTCTTATACAAACATTCTGACGCGACAGCATCATAATTATTCCCCAGATAACTTTTATGTAACCATTGAAAAATCAGCCCTTAAATGAACACGCTAATCTCAGCTTCAATACTAAATCAATAATATTGCAATATTTAGCCGGCCACGCCGCGCGCTGTCGAGGCAAACTTCAGGTTACATTTGCATGGGAAAATTGCCTCATCCTCTAGATAGAAAATATAATAACAAAAACCATTGCTTAGTTTTATAATATTGCTTGTGACTTGATTGTTTTAATAGGTATGATCGCTTCGTTCATTGTTCGTACTTTGATGATTTGTGGTTGTCGTTATTTTAAATAATATTTAGTGATAAGTATGCTCCCATTACAACATGCCATACCATTGTAGCTTCTTTGACGAACCTATAAAGGGCTATTTTTCTATTATGTCGTTTCCAAAGTACCTTTTTTTACTTAGACTTTGTTTGCTTATCGTCTTTGACAAAATATATATGTTATAAGTGTTGTAACACGAAATGATACATATGTATATAGAAGAAAAAAAACTAATCATAAAAATATACGTAAATAAATGGTTGTATTTATATTTTGGACAGTGACATACAAATGTCAACAATTAAAATTGATTGTTGCTTGTTAGGCTGACATTTTCGTCAGCAGAAATGTTTTTGTCTTCAAATGTACCAATTAAGTTAATTTTAACTAAACGCAAAACGTTACTCAGTATTGATATATAATAAACGTTACACATGTATAATATGCTGAACGAAATATAAGTATTTTTTACAGTCTAAGCTAAGCAACGAAACTTTGATATGTATATAAATACGATTTAAATATTTTATTACCTAAGAAGTAATTAGCTTCTTTTATTTTCCTTTTCAATGCAACCAGTTCCTAAAAATAATCACGCATTTATTAAACGACTAGTTTTTGCCTACGACTCCGTTCGCGTGGAATGGTCACTTCCTGCAGATTTTTGGTATAAAAACTATCCTATGTCTGTACCAAATTTCACAGAAATCGGTTCAGTATTTAGGCGTGAAGAAAAGACAGACAGACAGACAGACCTACTTTCGCATTTATAATATTATTTATTTATTGAGTTTGGAAGTTTGGATTTAACGACGTATTTGTATTTATCTAGTTATTTTTTTAAGAAATAAATTAGTTGTTTGTTGCATAACAAACATGACAGGTGTCGACGCCCACGCTGCTCATCATGAGTCCCGGTGTGACTTGAAACTATTAGAGCTTTTCTCGGTTTATTAATATGAGTAAGTTGTTATTTTCAACATATTATTAAAGATGTGTATATTAATTTCAGTTCTTATAGTTGAGTTGAGTTATTTTCATGTACCTAATGTTCATTGAAAAAATCTATAAGTACTATCGTAAGCAATGTCGCAGTCTAAAATATGAATGAAATTATGCTGACAAAACTCACATTTATGAGCCTACCAACTGATTCATTATTTAAATTTAATAGCTCTGTCTGTAATTTTGTGAACCTGTAATTTAATTTGATATTTGAATGAAGAAACGCGGTCGCGCGGTCGGCATGTATTAAGTATGGATGTACGTAAGTATTTACTACTTTTTGTTGTTCTATAAAAAAATATCGATTCTTGGCACCGGTAGGTTTTAAAGTTAACATTTTTTAATGTAAATGGTTTTTAGCTGAGTTTTAATGGTTTTTGGAAGAGCCAAGCTTCAGCATGAATGGGCCGGCTCGACCGGAGTGATACCACCACGGCTTCACAGAAAACCGGCGTCAAGCAACACTTACGTAGTGTTTCGCCTTTTGAGTGAGGTTACCGCAGGGTCAGTCAGAAAAGTGTTTCAGAAGGAGCTTTTGGTTATGTCTCGCCAAAATTTTTTTGAACTATAGATAAATATATATAATAAACAAAAATAAATAAACAAAAATAAAATCCTATAGCATATCAACGCAAGTTCCTTTTAATTAGGTATGAGTTCTACGTAGTAGGATACGACGAAAAAAAATGAATCCGCAAAGTACTTGAATCTTGAACCAAGACACGACTTAAAGCACAGAAACCTCGCACCATTAACCATAACCGCCTTTGCACTCGGCCAATGAGAAAGTAAATTATTTATTAAGTCCAATATTGACTGACTGACTGACCCTTTACTGGTAAAGGCCACGTGTTTGTCCCCTCTAAGTGGCCACAACAACTGTTCATTGCACAAATCAATATTTATACTCATCTCTGATTGAGACAATTGAACGAACGCTAAAGACTTCGGACCTTGGATGTTGAGTAAGTGTTAGGAAATCTTGTCCGATTCACGGCGTTGAGTAACGTGAGTTAATTCTTTGGGTGTATTGCTTTCCTAGCCTTTTAGTAAGCAGATATTTAGGCTTGTTACTGAATCTTGACTGCTGATTGCTATTATTTTACAAAAAGTATTTAACATAAAAACAAAAGGATTATTAAAATTTTGTTTTTTTAAATCCAGTTGGAACGAAAGAAGACGTTATATTCGATTTAGTGAAAATAATGACTTACTCACGTCAATTATCTGTAAAAACTCTACGAGTTGCAAGTCACTACGTTACTCTTATTTTTTTTTTAATTAGAAAACCAACTGACTCTTATTGTCGTCGTGCAGCCGTCTGGACTGTTATACTCAATGGTAAGTAATCTAAGCCGCGAATGCAAAAAAAAAAATTGGTTTGTGACAACCCTATATTAGCCACAGAGTACAAAATTATAAGCCTAGTTCCTTTCATATAAAAATCTATATATGGGTTAACTATTAAATAGTTTTAAAAAATAATGTTTTAAGTTTTAATAGAAATAAAACTAAGCAGGTCGTGTAATCTAGGTAAACAGTGTTAGAATTAGTCACACGTTAATATTACATCGCCAGCAACATTCAGGCCACGATTGATAAAGCCAACACCGATTGCTACTGATAAACTCGGAATACGGAACATTTTTATTCAACAAGTTCCTGCACGTCCATTAATCCAAACCCTGTATTAGTTTTTTTTTTTCTAAGAATCTGTCACTTCCCCTTGCTCCATGCAGGGGAGGATATTGGATTATTGTCCCCCTAAAAAGGAATAAAGTTGAGATAGAGTTTTGACATGTGGTCTATATTTTTGTTTTCAAATATCTTTTTTATAATAAATAAAAAAAAAAACAAAATAAAAAACAAAATAAAAAATAATAATAAAAAAAATAATAAATAAATAAATAATAAAAAAAATTGATGAGTGATTAAATCTATCCCAATGATTTTTTATGTGTTATGTCGGTAAACGAACAGTTTGATCACCTGATGGTAAGGTTTTTCTTAATATAAACATAGATACATATTCTAAAGATTGAGGATTAATGGAAGGAGCAAACCAATAGCAATAAGTGTTTCATGCCAGTATTCTGTGAGGCAGTAGTACCACTCCGGTCGAGTTAGTGTCGAAACGTGGCTCTCCCATCTCTCATTCATGTCCGTGGGATGCGCGGGTCTTTCGTAGTTTTTATGGTTGTATTTACTTTTAGCCGAACTTACTACTACTTTTTTTACTTTTAGCCGATACAGCCATTAAAGGTTTTAGCTGGTTATGTCAGGCTTGTCCCATAAGACAAGCCTTTATCTTCAAGAACGAAGGAGAAGACTGAAGATTTTTGGTATAAAAACTGTCCTATGTCCTTTCTCAAGTTCCAAACTATGTCTGTCCCAAATTTCACAGAAATTCTTTCGCATTTATAATATTACGTACTCGACGTATTCGACTTATTCGAATTAAAATAATTAATTTTTAAGAATTAAATTAGTTTTTTGTCGCATAAAACACACACACATGACAGTCGTCAACGCGCACGCTGCTCATGAATAAGAGTCCCGGTGTGACTTGAAACTAGTAGAGCTTTTCTCGGTTTATTAATATGAGTAAGTTGTTATTTTCAACATATTATTACAGATGTGTATATTAATTTCAGTAAGTAAGTTTCAGTGTCAACGAAGGAGAAGACTGATTCGATCACCAACCCCGCACAACGACAACCACACCCCATAACAGAACTAACAAAAACCTACATGAAAATATCACCTGATAGAACGATAATCACTCATTACGGATATTATTTTTTTAATTAAGCGCGTATGTGAGCTAATTAACTTCAGTTTCGGTAATTAGGTGACCCCATAAATAAAGTGGATTGATATCGTTTAAAATTGCGCCCATTCATTAGTACCGATATTATTGTATGCCCATTCGAGTCAATATGTCGATAAAAGTTCATGTAAATTATGTTCATGTACAAAATACTGAATCGTTTATATTATGTTTTTTTTTCGTATCAGTTAACAATTTTAATTCTACTTATTTAATTTATAAATGCGCAAGTTTGTGAGTATGTATGGATGGGGTACATCTGCTGACCGGATTTGTATGAAATTTGTCCTACAGATAGATGCGAAAGTTTTTTAAAATAACGTATTGGCTAATTTTTTTGTCCTGGTAATGCGGGCGAGTAATAGTACATTTAATAGCCTTTAGAAACTTTTTTACGATGGAGTAGCCAGAGGTCCAATACCTACTGCACTTAAATAAAAGTTAAACCCACTTGTCATTAGTTAATTGAAATACTTACTGAAAAATGCAATGTGCTCAACAAAGAAATAATTGTTCAGTTCCTGGGTTTAGCGTGTTCAAAAACAAACTCTATGATTTCAGCTTTATAAAATTAAGATTTCAATAAAGGCAACTGTAGTTTTTTTCAGACTCTGACTTCACTTGTTCAGGGTAAGACGAGAGGGAGTGTGGGACTCTTACTGACTAAAACTCTCGTTCTTTCTGCTCGAGGCCGAGGCCGCGTTACCAGATTGCACTTGCCTTGCACCCCAGCTGAACACCAGCCCTATTGAGGCGTGCGCGGAACGCGCGCGATTAAAGGGAACTGTATTAACACATTTATATATATAAGTTACTATTACATTGCCTATTATTTCTTAATTGTAAAATAACAGACGTATGTTCCATTTAACTCAAGATGTTTACTTAGGGAGATCTTAGCAAATGATAGTCACTAGTTACGCCGAATGATATGTGATTAGGCGCCGAACGCACTAGTGCGGAACAACAGCGGTTTTATTACCGCGTGACAAACCGCAAGCGGCCAATAAGTATTATACTCGGTTAAAAGAAAAATAACGCGGTGCAAAAACGGGAATCAAAGTCGGGAATATTTTAAAAAATCCCTTTGTGTTAAGGAGGTACATAGCCCAAAGCAGTGGGTGCAGGTTTTGGAATGGTCGATCTACAGTTGATGATTCAACTTGAAGGCAAATTGAACCACACCAACGTATCTATTGTTGATCCTGTTAAGAGTTCGGGAAAAACGGCAAGCTTATCTCATTAGAAAAAAAAGTAGGTACTCACCATAGAAATCTGGTTGGTCCACTCGCTATGGTATCGCCACGAGTTGGTGGTGTTATCCCAAACGTGCAGCCTGGACGGAAACCCCACGATCCGGTCGGGGAACTCACGCCACACGTCGAAACTGTAATATGAACAGATTGGCACTGCTATTATTAATATAAGGTACTTTTAAAAAGAGCGTACTCCTTTTAAAAGGCCGCCAACAGACTTGTAACTTCTTCGGAGTTGCAGGAGTCAATAAGCGGCGCTGATCGCTTACCACCAGTAGAAGGGTCTGCTCATTTGCCTGCCATAAAAAGAAACAATGTGCTTAGGCTTTGTAACCCTCCACGAGAAGGTATTATAACATCAGATCATCAGATGCCCCAAAATATAACATAAGTACTCATAAGCTAGCATAAGCTTAAATAATATTTAAATTAGCACATATAAAAATTTTAATGCTGTCGTAAAACTGCTCGAAATCATATTACTAGTTCAAATGGTCAAAATATGGTGGTTTGTCCGAATTCGTGTTAGAGCTGTTGGAGCATGCTTCAGATTTTTAATTCAGCAATTTTATTAGTTCATCATGTTCTTTAGGGTTTGGAGTTACAAAATCCTAATAAACAGCAGTCTTTAAAATTAAAATATGATCATATTACATATTTTAAATATATACCTAATTTTCAATTCAATAATACCACGTTCAATCAATACATATTTACAATACATTTCTTACGAAAACCGCCTTAACTAGGTAGGTAGATAGATTTGAGATTCCTATAACAACGCCGACAGCCTAATATTTCACCGCGGCACGAGGTATTCCCAAATAGTTGCAAAAAACGTAAGCTAGAGGTTCCCTGGCTATCCATATAAACAGGGAGGAAGGAATTGACTATAAAACTGTGTCATTTCCTACGCCAGTCACCCAACATTTCATTTCGTTGCGGTTTCCACGACTTTTACTCGCTCGAATAAAACTGGGAAACTTCGAGTTGCCCCATTGAAGCACACTAAATATTCCGACTTAGAAATGCATTAGAAAAGGAAGCCATCTTTCTTTTTCCTAAAGCTTTTTGTTAATTTCCTCTCAGACTTTACTTTGCTGTATCAATCCTAGTGTATTGTATAGAGTTGAAAATGCAGACAGCATTTTACAGAGTCAAAGTCAAAATCATTTATTTCAACTAAACCTTAAACAGATACTTTTGAGTCGTCAAAATGGAATAAAGTCTGTCAGTCAATTCGTCAATGAAGCTTGTTCCAAAGTGTAGATTCGAATGGAGAAGAACGGGCAAGAAACTCCATTCCATCTTCAGACATTTGATCAAACCTCGTTAGGGCACATTGTCGACCTCTTTAAAAATATAGGGGGATAAGGAACGCTGAATTCTAATTATAAAAAAAAAGTTATACGAGAAGCCGATTACAAGTTCTGGGAATACCACCACTGATAGTTCCGTCAGAAAGCAATATTATCGATAAGAAATTAAACGTCACTGTATTATAATAACAATAATCATAATACGACAGCAACTAATGTTACAAATCAATAAAAAATAATTATTGGTTGCACTCCAAACTGATAAGCAAATATCGTATCCACTGTAATGTAGCGTTCATTTGATATTAAACATTTGTCGAATAACTTTAAGGTTGAAATTTATAAAAGGTTACCAAGACATTACGAATTATTACTAAGAAATTGTAGACACAGGCTTGCTGTTGATATTTCAATATATTTTATTACGTTTACGAAATACACATTTCCAGCATAAACGTGTTCACGACAGTCTTAGATTGAAATGAATGAAGCCTCGACAGACAATGGAAACCGACTGGATGAAATATCATTTACTTTTCTTAGAAAACATTATAATCATTCCCCTTAAATCGCCGAGACTGAGGCATTATGTCTATCTGTATATTAGAGCGTTTATATCGTCTTTTCTTTAATACGATTCAATCTTTTACTTGGAGCTTTAAGTCAAATTAAACACGACCTTAAAATCTTCGTGTTAGGATCGAATACCCTTTAATCAGCTTTATTAAGCGTATATTACTCTTATAATTAATTGATCTTTAGCATAGCATACATACATTCCATTCACAAGTACCTAAATAAATAGCGAAGTCCTGACGAAACAACCACATTCATATAACGCACGTCGGCGTGACGAGATGACTTTTTATCCCACATAAAGCAAAATAAGCAGGAAGAATTTCATCTAAACAGTAAAGAGGATCATAGGGAGGAAAGCAAAAATATAGAATATATCTACTTAACATTCCGAGCGAGTGAAAGCGCCTTAGAGAAAGGGGTTACTACACAGGCGGTGTGGGTTATGTGACATGACGATATTACATAACTCCCTAAGTTTTGTCGTCACAGTAAAGATGCCTACATTTACGGAAAAGGAGAGGTAAGTACCGACAAAGTTCGCTGTACTACATTCAGCTAATAAAGCGCTTTGAACAGCTAGACGTTCCAGCCTACATATTTAATTTATTTTAGCAGCAACGACTCCTTTTTGTTTTATATTTTACTGCCTCGTTGGTAGTAAGTGGTCGTGAATGGGACGCAAATATCCAAACTGGGAAATATTATGCGTTTTTCGATTTGTGAATTCTTAGTTGTATCGAGTTTAGATAATATCTTACGCTTATACGCCGGCGCCTGTTTATGGCGACCAGTTAGTAATTTACATATATTAATCTATTTAATAAAACAGAAAAGAATTTAGAACTATGTATTTAAAAAGTCTGCCTATATCGTCGTGTAAAAGTGGAAGCAATAATAGACTAGATTTGAACGTAAACTTTGTTCGTTCAGCAAAATATAACAAAACTAGATACAGGTTGATCAAGTTTCGTAATTTTTTACGAGGCGGTTGGCGTTGTTGTCTGCTAGGAATGTCTTCCATAAGTTTAACTAAGTTCAGTACGAGATAGCGTCAAAACATCTAAACTTACATAACTTAGCATCGCGGCCTCTATTCCCCTTCCATTCTAAGCAGATGCATGAACTTAATGTTGACGCTTATATTTCATATAAGACATAACTTTGAAACTAACAACGCAACTAGAATGTATTTTGTAATTACTGCGATTTCCTTGAGTCGCGCAGTGATTGAACAAATGAGAATACTTTTTTAATCTGTACCCAAACTTCAGAAGGGTAATTATTCGACTTCCTGATTTTCTCGTAGCCTTCATTTTGGGAAAGAATTATCCAATTCAGCGTAGTCATTCAGAAGTTAAGCGCTTACAAACATTTGGTCACAGCTTATAAAAACTCACCGGCTAAAAAGCTACCAGCTAATTAAGGACTACAGTCAATTTTCGCAGACTAATGTATCCATCATTGACAACGTAACACCTTTATCATCCCCTCGATTGATTTAATGACCGATTGGCATCCAAAACTGTCCCTAAACTTGTCACATGCCATATATCAGGTTTATTGGCTCCAAAGGTAAGCTCTGATAAGTTAGAACAGGGATTGCTGGCAGCTGATTTCTGGGGTCTTTCTATTGGCATATATACATATCTTTGATTTGTTTTTTCAGAGTCAATGAGAAATAAATCATATCTTTATATGCAATGAAACTATTTTGCTTTAGTTTCTTGAAAAGTCTAACTCTTTCAAGATCTAAAAGTTGTTGAAGAATGCACAATAGGAAACTTTACTGCAAAATGTCTAAGTTAGTGGAAACGTCGAAGATACGTTAAACATTCGGAATAAAAAGGAAAAAGTTTTTTAAGTCATTATGATACATGGAAAAGTTTTTAAACTGTTAAATAAATGCTCGAGAAACCACATTAATAGTCACCATTTAAATAGTCCCCTGTAATTTGAGGACACACCCCTGTGTGTCCCATACACCGACTAATATGTGAGTCCAGGTCATTATTTAGAAATGTTTCATTAAAAAAGTCAATATTTTTTCCTTCTACGGGAAGCAAAGTGAAGTGTTTTATTCCAAAGTCTACAGCCACGATTACAAAACTAACAAAACAGTCTATCTACAATAATAGATTTTCAACAAATAACTTGGAATATTGATCTATGCTGATTTCGTTCTTATAGTTAACCGAATATAATTCATATTCATGAATCCTTTAAAACTTTCCCAAAGCTATGCTAATATTGTTACAAAACTATTGTTATAACCACTTTCATATTTTTCTGCAAATCTATTGTTTGAATGTCTAATAAGTTGTTGAGCAAGCGGTGATAAAGATGTCTAGCCACCGCGTTACCCAATACTCTCGGAGTGTACTCTTTCAAAGAATTGAATATAAGTCATAAAACTCAAATGCCGTGACTCAGACAATTTTTACTCTTAACAGACCCTACATATGTCATGCGTATGGCAATCTGAACTCTATTTATATGAAACGGAAAACACAATTAGTGAAAAGTGGTTGTACTTTAACACTTACACATTCCCGTCTGAATACAAGCGTCATCCTACCGGTAATAACACAGGCAACGACCGACTTCCACACCTTTTACAATTAGCTAAGTCGAAAATATAGTACCATTTGTACATAGAATTCCTTTCTCCACAATAGCCAATCAAGACATTGCGAGAGTAATAACAGAAATGGAACATTTCTAGAATTTACTGTATCAAATATTACACGATACGAAAAACTTTTCAAGAGGCCTCTGAGCAAAATAATAAGTAGGAAAGTTGTGTTAATTAAACTACGACCCTTCAGATTATACGATATAACGTCTGGAGATAAAATCCCTTGTGTCATAACTTCATGGCCGATAATACTGTAGACTTACCAACTGGCTTAATCAAGCTATAAATTAATTAAACGCTTATATTAATGTAATTAGCTAGAATTATTTCCCATGAGAATTATTGAGGCGAGCAATGAGACTGGACGTAACCATAAAATATTCAGCGCATTGCTAATTCTGAGCCGAATCGACATTGCGAACATTAAGGATTTCGATCTGTAGGTAGATTATTATCATTCAGTTACAGTTCAGACATCAGAATTTGAAAGCGATGGGGTTGCCATCGCGTCTTGAAAGGCAATCGTGGACTGGATCGTAAATCAAGCTTTGCAAGGTGGAATTTTCGAGGCTATTACAAAATAACAGGGTCCTTTGTG